GCCTAAAAGAAGAGGGAAAGGGACAAGACCTCCTTAGCAAATTGAAAGTATGGGGGCAATCGGGAGCGAGGGCAGAGAAAGAGGAGGGGAAAGGGGGAGGGAAGAGCAGAACATGAGGGATCAGGAAAGTTGAAGTTAAGGAAGAACAGAGAAAGCAAGGAAAGAGATACATTGATAGAGGAAGCCATTATGGGCTTAGTGAAAAACTTGGCACTAGGGAAATTCCCCAGGATTCCACAAGAAGGACCTCAACTATGAATCTAAGCAATAGTGGAAAAACTACCTTCAGTGCCCTTCCGCTATAATAAACATAGAGCCTTCATCCAGTAGCTGATGAAAGCAGAAGCAAAGATTCACAGTCAAACACTGAGATGAACTCCTGGAATCCAGGAGTGGCGAGCAAAGGGGTCAAGACCATGCTGGGGAAACCCACAGAAACAGCTGACCTGAGCAAGTGGGAGCTCACTGACCCCAGTCTAACAGCTGGGCAACCATCATCGGACTGAACCAGGCCCCCTGAACATGGGTGTCAGTTTGGGAACTTGAGCAATTTATGAGGCTGCTGGAAGTGTAACCAGTTTTTATCTCCAGTGCATACACAGGCTTTTTGGAGTCCAATCCCATGGAGGGATACTCTCTCAGCCTAGATACAAAGGTGAAGACCTCGGTCCTACCCCAAATGATGTGACAGACTTTAATGATCCCTCATAGGATGCCTCACCCTCTCTGAGGAGTAGATGGGGTGGGATGGAAGGATGGTGGGGGAAATGGGAGGGAGAGGGAACTGGGATTGTTATATAAAACTAGATTTTTTAATATAAATAAAAAATTAATAAAAAATAAGTAAAGAGGAAATGACTTGTGCATGCAGAAGATAAAATACCTTCTGAGCAGAAAAATACTAGCCTATACCATTGTTTCTACATAATGACCACTCAGAAAACCATAAAAAACCATATTGGTTTTGAGTAGTGATGAGGTGGGTCTAAGTTTCCATTATGTAAATGGGAGAATAAATATGTTTCTGTTCAATTGGGGAGGGAGAGGGAACTGGGATTGACATGTAAAACAATCTTGTTTCTAATTTAATTAAAAAATGGAGAAAAAATTCTTGATGTCTTTGAACTAGTAAAAACAAACAAATAAAAAAGAACATTCTCCTCCTTTGTGATAGCATTTGGGGCTCAGAGCATTTTTTTCTACTCATGTTTCTTGCCTCATTGCCAACATATACTATGCGAAGTAAATATTTAAGGAAAAACTTTTGATTATTAGATAATGAGAAAGGATGCATGAAAAGGATTCTACCTTCAAGGGTTTAACAACATGCTAAATTAAAAGAATTATTTTATAATTTCAGTTCAGAAAGATTTAAATGACAAAATACATGTATGATGAAACCTGGGGACACCGAAAAGAATGATTAATATACAACTCAACATCTACCAAAATGCATGTGGTATTTCTCTTGTCTCCTTCGGGTTGCATTCTTTCTCCCCTCCAAATGTGATATTATGCAGCTTATAAATAAAATCTGTAGTAGGTTAGCTCTGTATGCTATATTTTAAAATTCCCTAAACTCTGCCATACTTAGTGCATGAGAAAGAAATTGATTTACAGTTTTTACAGTTTAAGTTTTATATTAACATAAGCGATTCAAGGAACATTGTGCTTTAAAAAAATCCAAGATGAGGAACATCGATGCACCAACTCTAATTCCATAATCTATACAAACAAGTACATTTTAAATGTGTTTATCAGTCATAGTTAACTAGTTTCTAGCTTTTGTTCCGTGGAAGAAATGATGAAAACCTCATCCTAATAAAACATGTTGTGCCAACAGAACAGCAATGTCAATTGGGTTTCTCTTCATCTGTGGGGTGGTCCTAGAAGTTTATGAAAGATGTGTATAGTATTCACTATGAGTCCCTGAGTGCTTTACACAGAGTCATGTTTAAAATTCAGTTATACTGCAGGATCATATGGTGCATTAGCAGCATTTTGTGATGAAGAAACAATTTTAAATGTTTCAACAACTTGTCCTGTTTCCACATTTGTATATGGGAAGACTGGGAGTCTAACCCAAGTTAAGCCTTTGAAATCTTTGCTCCTACAGGGACAATGAGTATATGTGAAATTAAGTGATGTATTCACACTGAGCATGTGCATAGAGTTCATATCATCCAGGGTCAAGGTTTCCAAAGCTAACAGATCCAAGTTAAAGATCTTGGTATGTATTTTGCTAACAGAAAGGACCAATACATGTGCAAATCTTGACACTTCAGAAGGTCTTTTCTTTTAGAAAAAAAATTTACTAAATTCCCTTTCTAAGCAGGCAGGGTCAATTTTGTGTGGATGTTGCCTGCTTTCAGACTATTTCCTTCCTACAGTAATAAATTTTGAGACTGTAACTATTCTGAAATGCACTGTCATGGAAGGACAGGCACTCATTTCTTTGCCATTATTCAGTTATTATTTGAGAGGTAAAGAGAATGGCAAATCTTTACATGTTGCAGAAAGGAAGCATGCATCTGGAATGGAAGAGTCTCTGTACTTCAGTCTGGAAACAAAGGGCATATGTTCAGTAACAATTCCTTCAAAAAGAATCACAAAAAAGACAGTAATGATTTAGAAACTGTCCTCCAAGGAAATTGATCACGCTCTTTGCAGGAGACAAAACAGCCTTCAGTTTTGTATGCAAATTCTTGTCAGCAAGTACATTATGGTGTAATACACAATACATGATCATGATCATGCTGAGATTATTTTTGCTTGGCGATTTTTTTTCACTTTGTTTTGTTTTTATTTGAGTCAAAGCATCGTCTTTGTTTTGCTTCAGACTCTGGCAGGCCAACTATTGGTATAAAGATTGATTTGCTTACCTTGAGTGTTATGGATACAAATGTTTGGTGTTTGGCTGGACAGGACCACAGTGTCTTTTTAGTGAATTCATTGTTCACAGGACAGGCTCCTTCTATGGTTATTGTTGTTAAAAATGAGTTTTTGAGTTATTTTACCAATTTATGTACTATTTCATTGTTTAACCTTCTTCCATTTATCTATATTTGCTATGGACATAGATTTAATATTATATCTTTCATTGTTTTATTGAAGCCTCCATATGCTTCCATGGACAAAGTACAAGTGGTTGAGTGGTTTAAATAACAGAAACTTACTTTCTTCCAGTCTTAAATCATGATCTCTTTAGGTTTTTTTTTTTTCCAGCGAGTGGTTGCTACAGTCAGTTTTTCTCAAAATGTCTACACTGTGGAGAGAGTGTGCTTCCTGGAGAGTTTGTTTGTTATTTCTGAGTATATTAATCTCATCAGGCTGAGGTCCCACCTTCCTGTCTTCATTTATCCAATTACCTCCTAGCACAAATGCAAATAACTCCAAGCAAATAACACTGGAGATGAAGACTCAACATGGAAACTTGGGTGTGCTTGACCATTCAGGTCAAAAGAATACTATTTTTCAGTTTATAAGAAGCAGAGATTGTGTTAGTTTATTTGGACAAAGTATAGATGCATTCTTATGCTTCTGATTTAAGTAATAGAACTCTATTACAGCAATATTCATTATGGCTTTAGTCTGTGTTAAAAATAAGGTACTACTTTCAAAACCTGTACTTTTAGAAATTTGGGCTGTACTTACTTTCTGAATGAAGTATTGTTAACTTTCGAACAAAGTTTTTCTGGAATATTTTCAGAGTAAAGGGTTTACAATTCTAAGAAATATTTAAACTTTACCTGATGTCAAGATACCACATATTTCCCCCCTGGTTGTATCTTTCTAAGTCTGAGAGAGAGAGAGAGAGAGAGAGAGAGAGAGAGAGAGAGAGAGAGAGATGAATGAATGACTGCTTCTTCAATGAAGAATACAGCCAACTCTTGTCACCCTACCTAATGGATCTCAGGTGTGCCATGCAGAATACAATGGAAGTTGTAGGTTTAGAAGCCCTCACACCTAGGCCTGTTCCCAACAGAGAAACTGTAAGTATGAGTGTGTTAAGGTATATTGCTGGAAGCTTGAATCATCAAGAACTTTTCATTAGCTCATGATACCCTGAGTCATGAAAAAAAAAAAAAACATTAAAGTCACTCCATTAAATTTCTCTCTAAAAAGATTGTGGCCTGGTTTATTGCATTTTCCAGAGGTAACGAGGCAGTAGAGGAGATTACAGCATGAAGCCATGGACACCACTGAGAGGTTCAGCTCACCACAACACATGTGAAAATGCTCACCTCAGAGCATTATGCATAGGCTTTATTCAATGTCTGCAGCTTTAAATCATCCTTTGTTTAGAAAGTATTCCCCTTTCTCTGGGATCCAGGGTTGAAAATCTGACAGTTTCTAGCAGCATAACAGAAAGAAATCATTTGATGAAGGGAGGTTAGCTCTATCTATAAAAAAATTCTTTTTTTGCACATTTCCATCAATGAAAGTGATGTACTTGATTGTATTGATGTGAAGCTCAAACAAGCCAGGTCAAATATATTCTCATATTGAATATTTAAAAGTCTTTGTATTATACTTCATGCTGTGAAACTCTTGAGTGATTAGCCTTTACTACTTAGACTATGAAGAAATTACCTCACTGAAAGTAAGATAGGGAAAGAACATTAAGATGTACAAATATACAAATCAAAATGCATTAGAATAGCCTGCAAAATCTTTAAAATCTGATTGTTTGTTTACAAAGATATGCTTATTTGTAGAGTGGTATTTCTAACAAACTATGTGCAACATGTGATTCCATAGTCTGTCTTCATAAAAATTCTGGTTGTTTGATCACAATACCCAAAGTATTTTGCATGAACTGACAATTTTATTATTTTCATTACGCTTAAAATGTAGTGAGACCACATATATCACTCTGTACTTAGGTCACCTTTGCAAGACTCTACTAACCATTCCCAACTTTCCTTTATTTTCATTTTCTGAGAGCATGTCTGTCTCTTAAATGATAAAAAAAAACACAAGCTTTGATGCATTCTTACCAGAACATGGATGGTCACCTGAGCAGTAGAACTTCTCTGCCTGATAGGGTCAGGGAGAGCATCATTGGCCACATCTGTGATTCTCACAGCTATCTTATACTGAGAAACTGTTTCCCTGTCCACTGAATTCAACAGCTTTATCATTCCTAACATAAAACAGTGAAAAAGTTGTTATCTTGGTATTAATAATTTCAATCAATACCATATAATAACCTATAGAAATGAAGTCTTTGTTATAGTAACAAATAGAACTTACATGATATAATTAATTGTTGTTACATTTATGTATCACTGTTTCCACTGTTAAATCATACCAGATGTTAATTCATGCATTAGTCACCTACTGTACATGCTTAGGCATTTGGAGGAACATATGTGCAAAGGCTTTCTGAACTTCAATATATCAAAGATCAAAGCCTCAATGCTCCCTCTGTTGCTGCTAAGAATTATGGATGCAGCTAACAAAGCAAGGTGAACACTATATAGCTCAAGGGAAGGCTTCTGATGAAAAGTTTTCATTACCATGGTTTCTAAATAAGCTACATTCAAGATGAGATCCTTCTTTTTCATTTTATTTTTTGACAATTTCTTAGATGAGTACACTGTGTGATCATAATTTAAACCCTTCAGTATTCCCCATCTAACTCCTTCCATATCCCTCTTGAACTTACAACCTCTTCTTTTTAACTATTATTGTTGTACATAAATAGATGCATATATATTTTATTTATACAGGCATAAATCTTATATGTACATATACTCAATGCACTGAATCCAATTAGTGTTACTTGTATTTGTATGCATTTATAGTTGACCACTTAGGATTGGAAAACCTATCAGGAACTTGTCCCTGAAAAAAACCTAATTCTTATTCATTAATATCAGAGCTTTTACATTACCTGAATCCGATTCAATGTAAAATTTGGGTGGTATTCCAAAGTTGCCTCCAACAATGGCATATTGTATATTGTTAAATGGCCAGTCTCCATCGGTATATGTAATTTTTCCAACTAGTGTATCAATTGGACTGTTTTCAAATACACTGAAAGTAAATGCCATCATAGTTCCAATAGGACTGTGTTCATTTATACGGCTCACCCTTAATATGATTCTGATGATGGCTATGGAGAAAAAAAATTGTGAGTGTAGATAGAGCAATGATATGCCCACTTCAGCAATTCTTATTTTTTTCCTTTATAGCCAACACATACTCTATTTTATAGGCAGAGATTTCCCAAATACGTTTATACTGATGTTTTATTAGTAAATTATTTACTTTTAGTTTTAGTGTACTTAAAACTAAGTTTAGCATAAAAATATTTTATTGACCAATTTTTAATATTATCCAAAGTAGAATAAGCTGGTTTCTTGTTCAATATTCTGAATATGAAAATAGTACAGAATGATTATGTTAAATTCTCTTCAAGTGACTGCAAATTTCTGTATTCAATGTTTGAGAAGCACTATCGCTACCTAATTCTAGTTTTATGTTGGCTTTCAGTTTTTAAATATTAATATACATGGACTAAATGAGAAAATTTAATTATAAATATTTAATGCATTATTATGGATTATGATTGGAACATTTTTAACTATGACAGAATCTAAGAAACACTATTTAAGACATTATGAATCTTATTTAATTCAAACTATTTTAAGATATTAAAGTTACAACTTCTTACTTGAGAGTGCAGGAATTCCTTCATCAGAGACTCTTATAAACAATGTATATTTAAAGTCCATTTCTGAGAAAACACTATTATCATAATCTAGATGCATAGGTCCAATCTGTAAATGAAAAATAATATACTATTAGTTCTGTTTTGATTACACGCCCATTTTCAAATTATGCATCCAAAGTGAAGATAGTAAACAAATAAATAAAAATGTTACTTTACAATATTACTTTCTAGTAGTATTGTATATCCTATGAGCCACAAGCACAAGCCATGTATGTAACTTTAGCTTAAAGAGTAAACACACTAAAAACCGAAACATTTGTAATTAATTTAAATAAATTTATTTTTATCTTATTCAGGCAATAGTTTTCTTCATCCAAATGATGTATTCAGGCAAACATATCTTAAATGATACAGTTTGAAATGTAACAAACAGGGAAAATGACGAAGACACAAACACTTATTTGTTAAAAATAATCTAGTTGAGATCATCATTTACTTCCCAGTTGCAGTATAACCCAGAAAAGTTGTATTTCTGGTGTTCAAGGGTGTGCTTAGCCACTGACTTCTATGGGACAGTTTGAACTCTTTCTGGTTAGCTATCTCTATGAAGCTTCACAGTGGTGTGAGCCCAGTCCTCCACCAGCCAGCCATACCATCATGAGAGAAAATAGCTACTTTTGTGTGCCACACCATGCTGCTGCAATATGATGATCCATAAGCTACAAATGGATTTTTAACTTATGAAATGTTCAATTTAGGAATGGTTTCATTAGAATATATGGATAATAAGTAGACAGACATCCAAAATTACTCTTTTGTATTAAGAATTTTGCAATGACATTACAATAAACTTACTTCCTGTTTTTCCAAAAATAAATTAAAGCTGGGTTAGAATTAGTTAGAGTAATCTCTCAAAAACAAGACTAAACTTCAAGCTCCAAAATCAGGTAAATAGAAGACTTAAGGTCAACTCTACTAAGGGCTCTAAATGCCTCATTTTTTTTGGGGGGGGTTTCAAGACAGGGGGTTCTCTGTGTAGCTTTGGAGCCTATCCTGGCACTCGCTCTGGAGACCAAACTGGCCTCAAACTCACAGAGATCTGCCTGCCTCTGCCTCCCGAGTGCTGGGATTAAAGACGAGTGCCACCAACGCCCGGCTAAATGCCTCATATTTTTATCTTTAATTTTACTGTCCTAGGATGGATGTATAGGGCAGACATGATGTCATAAGGATGTTGAATAGCACTAAATACACAGGCAAAGCAATCTAAGGATCTTATTTCCACATCTCTTGAGTAATCATGCAATCCTCACAGTACTCAGAGCCTAGACTTCTGGGATCTTCCAACAGTGTACAGAAAGCACATGATTGCTGTTGGCTTCTTCAGCTTATGTGAGGTCCTTTCTATGTCATAACCATGTCCACATTAGCTATTTTTCCTAACAGTCAACATTTATTATGCAGGGAAATTGTGTGTAGCAATCAAGTGATTAGTTGGCACAGAAGTATGTTGCTTTTTAAAAATTCTATAATTTTCAAGACTTGCAGAAATGAAAGGCTGTGGACATTAACCAACTGGCAGAGAGGTAGCTTCTTTAGTAATTAATGAAGATACTAGGTGGCATCTGAATTTAAGCCACTGCTAAAATTCTATAGTCTGCCTTCAAAGTAGATAAAGTGAGGTGAAATAAATAACATCAGTGTCACTAACATCAGCAACACAGTTAACTCATAATGATAGTGCTTTACTAAAATTACTGACTATGCTAAACCCTATTTCTGTTTGATTATACAAACAATAAAAATGAATTGAACATTGAATGTAATTATAGATACTGTAAGAAAATAACCAAAGTTGGTACAAACATTATAGAAACACTATGCATGACATCACTAGCATTGAAGGCAGTTGTAAAATTATGACTCTCAGATTCAAGTTTTGAGATTTTGATATTCTAAATGACAAGATGTAAAGAATAGAATTTTTATTTTCCTTCAAACTAAAAAAGTCAATTTCTTTACATTTTGAAAAATATAACATTGAATGACCAATTATTTCCTGTGCCAATGCATCCAAGGCAATTTCCCACTTTCTCTTCTATCAGGTTCAGTGTATTTGGGTTTATGTTGACATCTTTTATCCACTTGGATTTGAGTTTTGTGCATGGTGACAGATACAGACCTATTTGCATTCTTCTTCGTGCTAACCTCCAGTTAGGCCAGCACCATTTGTTGAAGATACTTTCTTTTTTCCCATTGTATAATGTTGGCTTTTTTGTAGAAAATCAGTTGTCCCTATTTGTATGGATTAATGTCTGTGTCTTCTATTTGGATCCATCGATCAAGGTGTCTGTTTTAATGCCAATACCATGGGAGTTTTGTTACTAAATAGCTTCCTTAACAGGACACAGAATCAACTAACCTGGGCGCATAGGGCTTCACAGAGACTGAGCTGACAACCAGGGAGCCTTCATGAGACTGACCTAGGCATCTGCATAAATGTGACAGTTGTGCAGCTAAGTCTTCTTGTAAAACTCTTAACAGTGTGAGCAGGGACTGTCTCCAACCATTTTCTGGTTTTTTAGGAGATGATCAGACTTTGTTACATATTGTTCTTATTTGATATTTAATATGAGAAGCTGTCATTTTTAGATTTATTTATTTGTTTGTTTTATATATGATTGCTCTATCTAAATGCTTACCTTTATGCCAGAAAAGGCCATTAGATCTACTATACAAGGGTGGGACCAACATATGAGAACTGGGAATTGAACTCAGTACCCCTGGAAGAGAAGCCAGTGCTCTTAACTGCTGAGCCATCCTTCTAGCTCAAGGTACTTAGTTTTACTGCAATTTTTGGCATGCCATGTTTTGTTGATACTCATGGAAGACTTGTCCTTTCCTAAACAGAAACTGAAGAGGAGTGGACTGGGGTGTGAAAACAGAAGATGTTGGTGTGGGGGACTTGGAGGATAGGAGGGAGGGGAAACTGTGGCTGGGATGTAAACTAAATAAATCAATAAATTTATTAAAAAGAAAAAAGAAGAAAGACCACTCCTTAAACATCCTTATTTAAAATACAAAGGCTTCTGTATAGCAAAAGTACCATCATTCAAACAGTGTGGCAGCCTGTGGAGTAGGTATAAATCTATAACAGTTGTACATCAGCTACAAGATTAGTAAAAAGGAATCATTTGATCAAAATATATTGCATGAATTTATTTTCTTTTTTATTCTTTCACACAATACATCCTGACCACAGTCTTCACTCCCTCCACCCCTTCCAGCCCCCCCCCTTTTCTCCAGATCCACTCCTTTTCCATTTCCCTTTGGAAAAGACCAGTCCTCCCAGGGATATCAGCTGATCATGGCAAACAAGATGAAATAAGACTTGGCATATATCCTTATATCAAGACTGGACAAGGCAACCCAGTAGAAGGAAAAGGGTACCAAAAGCCCACTCCCACTGTTAGGAGTCCCACAAAAACCCAAGCTAAACAATCACAACATATATGCGGATGACCTAGCGCAGATCCACTTAGGCTCCCTTATTACTTCATCAGTCTCTGTGAGCAGCTAAGAGTCCTACTTAGTTTATTTTGTGGGCTCTTTTTTCTGGTGTCCTCAACCCCACTGGCTACTAATTAAATTGTATTTATTATTTTAATATAAACTTTTAGTGATTGCTCTCAGTCTGAGTTTTGGATAACTGATGAAACTCTATAACATCCTTCTGTAACATATAGCATTTTGGGGGGTTATCTATGTGCTAATAAATTTTAGTTTTATATTTAAAAACTTTATGTTTAAATTATTATCTTGTAATTAAAGAATTGAGTATTGTTGGAAATCCATGTATATTTTCTTTATATATTTCTATAGTAATATTGAATTCAGTAAGTGTTAAGTTTGTGTCATTTTCTTTAGCTTTTTTCTCTTCCCTGCCTTGGAGAAAGAAAGAATTCAAGCATAATTTTAGTAACCTTTCAAACCTAATTACCCTTTGAGGAAAATACTATTGTTCCTGTTCCAATCATATAGCAAGGGAAGAAAAAAGAGAAAAAAAGAATAGTATAATCATCAATCAGTGTGTTTAGCTCATTATCTTTGGTTAAATGGTTTTGATTCCATAAATTGTATGTAATTGTTTTCAGGAAATCAGTAAAAATTAGAATAGGTTCAAAAAATAACTTTGCTGTTTATGCATATATTTCATATACTGTTATAATTCCTTCAATGGAAATAATTCAATGAACTGTAAACACTTCCACCATTTTCATATTTCCTACTTCAAGAATATTGATATTATATTTCCCAGCATGATCAGCTTATGGATACACTTAGATTGCAAAGATCTATTTTGATATTATGATCACATCAACATTTCTAGGCATGCATGTATCACACTGAGACTTTTGGAAGTAACATGTTACTATAACCCACAAACACAGTTTTCCCTTATTATCCATCATCAATTCAGTTATTAATGAATAGCTATCTAACCAGCACTAGACATGTTCCAGATACTCATTTCTGATTATACTGTTTTTTTTTTCACTTTCTAACTAGGGACATATGAAATGTTTAACTAGTGCTGCAGAGGGACAGGCAAGAAGTGTTGAGACAACCCAAGGAGAAACCTGGGACACTGACACAAGGCAGAAGAAATGTCAGAAACAGATTCAAATGAGAAATATCTACAGAAACTATTAAACTGTACAAAAGTACATGGGTAATTGAGGCATAAAAAGTAATCCATGGGTTTTCTAGCTTGCTGCACAGTACAAAACCTCAACACTGAAAGACATCTGATTTAAGATCATGAATGTGATTCTATACATTTCATTCACAGAACATGAAAGAACAAGAATAATAGGGGTTTGCATGAAATGTATCTTGGATAGAAGTCTGATGTCATGGAATCCATATCAAAACAAGATGAAAACGTGCAATTTCCTTCCATCCTGCTCAGGCAGAAAACACTGGGCTGTTCATGAGCAGTTGATTTGATGAGCTGCACTTCACTACTGTTGAACACAATGACTAATCTCTTTTTGCCTAATCTTCTTTAAAATGTATGAATTTAACTATATTTAGCCTGATTTAGATTTTAAAATATATTGGAAATAAAAGATATATCTATATCTGTATCTATCTAGATCATCTGTTCATCTACCTGTCTATCTACATAAATATATATATACAAACATACACATACATCTAATTGATCAAAATATTTGAGATGATGCATACTACAAAATACCATAATAAAGTATGCATGTGTGTTTAATTTATAGTCTCTATGTTAAAATATATTTAACACATTTATCATATTTATCAACATAGTCCAAATGAATACACAATATTTTATCCTAAAACTATTGTTTTAAGAAATTCATAAGCTCCTGAGTTCAGTTCTAATGATGAAAATTGCATTCCAACATTCATTCTGAAACAAGCTAGAATTTCAGCAATTTAAGGTTCAGTTGAAAATACAGGAACAAATTCTGCCAACAGCTATTTGAACTACTGCATTTCATTAACAATTTTATAATAATAAAAATAAATGTTTTCTTCTATCTCGGGTTAATCTCAGAACCACAGTCAGAGAATGATTTATGATACTTACTTTCAATTCATTCTTTGTCAGAGTAAAGGTTTTATTTGAAAAGGTGTCTTTAATCAAATGATAAGTTACATTGTTGTTGGGAATAGTTCCATCCAGATCTGTACAAGTTAGGGACACTAAAGAGGTGTCAACTGGGATGTTCTCAGGAAGTTCAATTCTGCAATGAGAAAAATAGGTGTTATATATTTATCATGATTTGGGCAAATGATTAAATTTAATATAATAGATCAGGTGAAATGTTGTGCACATAATTTAAATAGCCCTTTGAACAATAAGATTTTTATAGTATGCATGGAAAATTGCCTAAGACGTGATTTAGCATTCATGAGGAGACCAAGGGCCCAGCACATTTTTTCTTTCCTTTTAAGTCCAGAACCCAATCTTTTACTTTTTTTGGAGGTAGAAGAAGCAGATATGGCCATATCAGTTATCCTACGATAGAAGCTCCTAGTCAGACGTATCCAGTAATGGTCTCCAAGGTGATTCTTGATCTAGTAAAGCTGAAAGTCAGTATTAACCTGTTACTTGCTATTGACTTACAAAGTAGCAATTCTCGCATTTCCCTACAACCTCGACACATGGCTTCTGGGAGGTCTACTGGCAGATGGAATGGGAACTGGTAGATTAAATTACAATTCCTGGTAAAGTGATTGGAATGTGGAGTGTCATCTACATGTGTATCTCCCTTCTCTCCTGTGTTTGGAAACAGAACATAACAAGATCACAGACACATGAATATGCAAGAATCCCTGTGTCAATGCATGAATCACACTAGAACACCAGATTTTTATGGCACTTTTCATCAATGTGAAGAAAGGCTCATTGGGTTGAAGTTACATTGTTAACAGTGATTCCGTGGTAAATTATTTGGCTAAGGCAAACAACTACAATGGAGTTTCTCATCAGTTTTGGGAGGTTGTTTCCAACTTAACTTTAGATTGCATTTTAGCATGAAACTCAAATTTGAGCTGAATTAGGATGACACCAGTGAACATGCAAAAGTTGACATGGAGTAAAAGCGGTGAGACCTCAACTCTACACAAAGAACTACAGGTAACTAAAGAATGTAGAGAATGGGAGAAATAGTCTTCCCTTGGTAAGAGCAAAACCAATTAATTACATACCTGAGAAACATAGATCCAAGTAGCTTAGTACAGACTGGGAATATTGTATTTAGGAATACGTGTACATATAACAATGAAAAATTAGGCCATGGATTTGAAAATGAGCAAAGAATGGTGTATCGGAGGGTTAGGAGGAAGGAAATGGAAGGGGGAAATGTTGAGGCTCGTTCTGTGTCTTATAAGTGATCAAGGCATGCCTGCATTATTTATACACAAAGTCCTCAGTAAGAGAGAGACAAATTATTCAATGGAAGACTATCCTAAATCCATTGCAAGGTATGAAAACATTGTGAAATCAAAGTGAAAATTTCCAGTAATCTGGAGTATTCATTGTTCAGCCTACAAAACTATTTGTACTTCACTGTAAATAGCTGCCATTGTTCTCCTCTACTTGGCATTTGGATGCTGTGAATACACATTTCTAACTTTCCCTTGGGTTTTCTGCATACAGATGGAACAGTCCTTATTGGCAATCACATTGGCTTTTTAGAAATTCTAAATTTCAGAGAATTACCATGTTGATTTTTACGTTTTGTGACAACAAATGAAGTAAGACAACTTGTCCAGGCGAAGGAGTATCATGTGTGAGGAAATGAGAAGGAGGGAAAGCTCTTGCTTCTGATCTAGGATCACTGATGCTCACTCACCCATTTATGCTGTCTTCTCTATACAAATATCCAAAGGAAGATGCAAAAATCGCCAACACAACTTACACATAAATATCCTGTGAGCATCGTGGAGGGTTGTCATTTACGTCCTGTAAAATCACTGTGAATGTCCCAGTTGTTGAATGCGTTCTCTCATTGTCATAGACTCTAACATATAATACCCAAGATTTTGGGGTTGTTACATCTTCATAGTCTAAAGGATAGGCAACAGTGACATCTCCGAAGTCTGCGAGGCAGGCAGATTAAGATGTGGTTGCCATCCACAAGATAAAAAAGATGTACATTAAAGATATGACATGAACAGAGTACTCTTAGGGATAAAATAAAGGTCAGTTGTTGACCTAATAAAGTCACAAACAAGTCACAATCATGCACATATGAAAAATAGGGGCTGAACATGTGACAGAAGACAGAAGGCACCTGTATTACATAGTTCCTCTCATGGGAAAGTCATGCCATCTGCAGTGGGAAACATGGTGAGGCTTAGACTAAATTAATGAACACAGGGCAGGCAGGGTTCTGGAGAAAACTGGGGGTTCTGGAGAAGAGTGGTGTTTCGGATAGCATGTAGCAAACGACAGGAAAAAGTAAAAGGGATACTTCAGGTAGGAATTAACTTCCTACATATTTGAATTGCATCTGTGTTACCACAACATGCAGGCTTCAGAGGTGTGAACTGCTTTACAAACTATAGGTATATAATTAACTGACGAATATTGTTATCATGCTGGTAAATCTCCAGCAGGATTGATTGCTTCTTTATCCCTTACATCTCTCTCTCATCTGTTCTTCTCTATGGAGTCATTATTTTTCCAGATATAAGCTTTGTTAACGATGTATTTGTGTGTTTGTAATTATACAAAGTTCTAGGGAGGGGAGGGGAGGTAAAGTGTATGTAAGTACAAGTGTCGAAGAAGGTTAGAAGAGGACATGAAGTTCCCTGGAGCTGAAATGGAACCTGGATCCTCTGTAAGAGCAGCGTATCCTCTAAACCATTCAGTTATCTCGCCAGATACCACACTTATGCTAAAATTCACATTTTGTGTTTTCAATTTTCCTAAAAGTGCTACACTTTAATCTCACATAATAGGTGCTGGAGGAATATGTGTTTATAATCTAACTAACACTCTTTCAGTAAGCAAGACATTTTACCAAGACCAAAGCAATTATATTTTTAACAAATCAACTTATAATAGTCTACTAAAATGTCTGCACTGATTTTCACTGAAACCTTACCTTTAGAAAAAGTCTAGCTGCCTGTGTTTTATTCTAGGCCTATATTCTTTAAAGAAGTATTGAATATTAGCCATATTTGCATTTCTTACTGACTTCTTCAGGAATTTTGCTATATAATCCAAGTAACTTCTCTGCCTTTCTCTGATAGCCAATATCCTTCTCTCCTTAATGACTACTTTTATGGTGAGTGTACTTTTAAATAATCAGAACTTTGTGCAAATGTTCTTTTTCTGAACAATAAGAGATTAAGTACATGACCTCATTGTTGCCCAACCCGAGGTATTCTCTAGGTCAGCTACAAAACAAGTATCAACATCCTAAAGTGAACATCCTGGTACCGAAAGTCTTGCTAAAATTTCACTGATTGTTTCAATATTTTTATAAAAAGACTTAATTTAGAAGCACTCCTTGTCATGTGTCTTTAGTCTCCCTGGATATGGAAAAAAACAAAACAAAACACTCATCCATTGAGTTTCCTAAATACATGTATTAAAAACTTAGGTTCATTCTGACATACCAATTTTACTTATTGCTGTATGTTTTGTCCACATTTCCTACTTTCCACTTTGATGAGGCCCATCTCAGGTAGAAGAACCCAGCCTTGGCTCATCCTCTGTGTGTGTGTGTAAGATCTGCCCTGCCATGCTGCATTCCTTCTATGGGCTATCCCCTATCCATCCTCCACTCCACACACAGAAGTCTTTACACGGAGTTGATGAGAGGTGCATGCTCAATTGCTTTCTATTCATTTGTGAATGCCCTAAAACGAGGAGAAATATTTCTCTACTCCATCTTCTAGCTTCATGCCTCAATTGCCAGAGACACAGTCAGCTTCTCAATCTCTGAGCATCAGAGATGCACTTAAAATCACAAGTGTTCCACTCAAATGGACTGAACTCAAGTTTATCCATATCACAGAAACCCATTGTGTGTGTGTCTGTGTGTGTGTGTGTGTGTGTGTGTGTAGATTGGGGATTTGAGTAGCATAGAAATAGTGCATTGCTTAGCACTTACAAGGCCCTGTCTCTGTTCCCCTCCATGGTGGTGGAAGAAGGAAAAAAAAAAAACTCCTCCCCAGAACTACATTTCAGATGGAGATTGGTTCAATAAAAATTCAAACTGGCTTTTATATATGGAATGTACTTGCATAAAAGAATGTATGACATAAAATGAATGAACATTCTGTTTATGATAACTAATGTTCTGGTTTCCATGGGAAAATTTATCTCTCAGAGAAAGGTCATAAAAATAAATTTCTAGTCCAAACTTATATATCTGGATTATGGAAAAGTCTGCCAGAGTAGATGGACACAGAGAACACATCCTTTTAGCAAGGAAGGAAGGATTACTATTTCCTTTATAAAAATATGCTAAATGCTCTCCTACATATTTTAAATATCATTTCACTCACATATAATGACTTTAGAGCTTAGTTTAATGAATTAAATGCCTTATGTTTTCTGAAATGGTTACCCACAAAAAATTATTATACCTTCATTTATAGCAAACTCTTTCTGTATACTTATAAATTCATAATGCACAGTATCCTCTATATCTCTATCTGTTGCCGTGAACTTGGCCAACTTTGTTCCCACAGGCAGGTTTTCATTAATAATTAAAGGTGCATCAGGTTTATATCTAGAGGGCAAAGGAGAAGTTTTTAGTACTCAGTGTAAACAAATATCTCTTGCCATATATGTCACATAGAAAATATTTGAAATTTCATGCAGTACATCTTTTGTGACAATTTACAACCTCTAAATTTACTAAATTGAAAATCACTGTGTATACATTAGCCATTGCTAATATATTTCAAAATGAACTTAAACAATATTTTATTCATTCTGTTCATTTAGTCCTTCACCTTACTGAGAAATTATTAATTATAACAGATAAGAAAAAGTTGCAAATGCTTCAGCAATAACTCTTCATTTTATATATGTTTGGATGTATACCCATGTCAAAATCTATTTAGTGCCCCAGTTCTCTTGAGTGGTTACATTGATCTCACAAAATAAATATATTCATTTCTATACTATTTTTTATTAATTATAAATAGCAAAAGCACAGGAAATTTGAATTCTATTCCATGAAAAAAATGATCGTTTTCTGTAGTTTCAAGAGCATAACATAAGTGGAGTTAATTTTGTTTATTGCACATGAGAAAAACCAAAGAGCATTGCTATCAAGCTCATAGAAGTTTTCTTTCGAGGTCACATTGATATTACAAGAAATTTTGCAATGAAAAAATAAAGCACAGATCTTTATCCTACAATAAAACAGTTCCAATGGTTAATTTGAACGCTTAAATATTTAGATTAAGCATTGCTTACATCAGAACAGGACTCTCATCATTAACATTTTGGATGTTTATAGTGATGGTGCCGACACATGACTCCAGAGACAGGCTGTCCCTATTTCTCACAGCGATTACTAACTGGAAAAACTAAGAGCAAAAGACAGAATGTTTTAGTTTTTTTCACTTTGAGTGCATAACACAAAACTTCATTTTACGTTAAAAACAATGTCTTAAAAATTAAAAATTAAATGAAGGAGGCCTCGGCAATCTATGGGGCCTCTGGTAGTAGATCAGTATTTTTCCCTAGCATACAACTGGACTTTGGGAGCCCATCCCATATAGAGGGATACTCTCTCAGCCTAGACACACAGGGGAGGGTCTAGGCCCTGCTCCAAATGACATGACAGACTTTGAAGATCCCCAAGGAAGGCCTCACCCTCCCTGGGGAACAGAAATGGGATGAGATAGAGGGTTAGTGGGGGGCATGGGAAGAGGGGAAGGAAAGGAAACTGGGATTGACATGTAAAACAATATTGTTTCTAATTTAAATAAAAAATAGAAAAAATTAAATGAAACAAAGCCTGGAAATGCAAACATATCATTCCTAATTATTATATATGTATTTCTGCAATAAATGTTCCCTTCTAATTATCATAGATTTTGGATTGTAGTCTTACACATCATTTTATTACATTTTAGGGAACATGTGAGTTAAATTTATTGAAGCACTAAAATAAATTGTTAAGTATCATTGTTTAGAAAAAATCTGATGCATATTGTACTTATAGAAAATATTGATAACTCATGAATTTTTATCAATTTGAAATAAGTCAAAATTTCTTTAACATATGATTTCTAGTACAACCAAATATTTGTAAAATATAGTTTTAAAAGATAATGATAAGGCTTATAAATTCCAATTTTAGTTTTTATTTATTAAAGTTAATTCTGTAGTCATTAATCACATTAAGTATAAATGCAAAAATCTTATCAAAATACACTAAATCCAATAACAGTCTCCCTTATTGAAACTTCTACTCCAAGAATATTTCAAATGAGTGGACATATTTAAATTAAATTCTCATTTGACTATTTCCTTGTCAACTTTATGGTATTGTGTCAGAATAAAGGAAAGAATACGGGGAAGGACACCTAAACTAAGGGCCTTCCACCACAGTCGTATGGAAAGCTACTAAGAACTCTTCTATTGGGTGTATCAGCATAAATTTTTATTCCATCACTAGAGAGGCAGAGGCAGGGAGATCTCTTTGAGTCCCAGGCCAGCCTGGTATACATAGTGAGTTCTGGGACACCCAGGGATACATAGAGAGACTACATATCAAAGAAACAGTGAAAAGAGCTTCATAAAATAAATGCATGTACATATATAAAAGGGTTTAAGTACTTTAACTAGATGACATATGCTAACAACAACAACAAAAACAGTTTTAGGAATGGGTTACCTCTTTTTGTGTCAAGTAGGGTCCTTCACACTTTCAAACATTATAGAATTTTGCCATTTCATTTGGTTCACTGACAGAATTTGACACTAAAACCCTATTGCTAAAGACATCATATACATCAGTTATTAAAAACCTGATATGGAACTGTTACACTTATAGGCTGTTTTTCATGGTGTTACAAATTGTTCTGTGTGCTGTGGTAAAGCAGGAATGAAGTCACCAGTCTCATCCAGTGTGAACCCTGTGAGCTACAGGAATGGAGTGTGTGTGTGTGTGTGTGTCTGAGTGTGTGTGTTCATGCATGTGTATGTGTGTACATGGGTGATGTGTGCAAGCATGTGTGAGTGCATGTGGGTGTGAATGTGTGCATGTGTGTACATGCAGATGTGTGTGTAAGTGTGCATGCGGAGGCTACATACATGGGGGCATGTGTGAGTGTATGTGTGTGTGAGAATTGGGAGAGGGAGAGGGAGAGGGAAAGTACATGTGAAAATATTAATAATTTAATAAAAAAAATGCAAAAAAAGAGAATTACCTAAAAAGGGTTCAAGAATTAGAGGAGTAGGTGAATGGGACATGGGAGAAGTTAAAGGAGAGAGGGAGTATTGGAGATATTATGTGTTAACAGGTGGAATTTTCAAAAATAAAAAATAAGTTAAAAAATAAGGAAGTGTTTTTGAAACAAAGAAACCTATTGTTTCTCTATATTTTGCATAGTAAGAAAGCGTGTACTATGATAGACATGATATAGATAGATATGATCTTATCTTCATGAGTAAGACAGGCGTACACATCAAAGAAAGATGAAATTTTACCTACTGGTGGTTTGATTATTAGATTAAACATTTATACAGAGTAAAATAATAGAGAGGGGACAAGGAGGGAAAGGGGCAAAAGGTGGGGAAGAAGTAATGATGATATCAATCACTTGGAGATTTCTGCAATATGTTCCTTTCAAGGCACTACTCAGCAACAGTACCCAAATAGATTTTGTAAATGACTATCCCTCCTCAAGATTAACTCGTGTTTAAAAAAACAGACAAATGAATATAGAAATGACCATGAACTTTGACTAGTCAACCATAAAGGAAGATAATCAGGATTAAAATGTGGAAATAAATTAAATATTAGTGAATTTAATTTAGTAAGATATATTGCAAATTGTCCCATGTAGAGTTGAGTATCAATCAGAAAACTAGGATAGCATAACAGGAAAAATGCAACACAGACTATTATTAAATTAAGAAAAAAAGGAAGCCGAATATCTGAAAAAATGGAGGAAAAAATCTATATCAAATCAAATTCCAGTTAAAAAATTTTGGCAAACTCATCAGAACAGATATTATACTTGATCTTAACCAAAGGCCTAAGAAATTTCACCCATGTTATCTCAGCAATATCTGCCTAAGCACAACTGGAAAAGAACACCACAAGCAGACATGCCAAAATGAAAGGAGAAAGCTCATAGGGCCCTACTCATAGATCAGTGGTTCCCAACCTTGCTAATGCTGCAGCCCTTTAATGCAATTCCTCGTGTTCTGTTGAGCCCCAACCATACAATTATTTTCATTGCTATTTAATAGTAGTAATGTTGCTACTGTTTTGAATCATAATATAGATATTTTTGGAGAAAGAGTTTTGCCAAAGAGATCACTGTCCACAGGTTGAGAACCACTGCCATAGACAAAGTACTGCAGGAAACAAAGGAGTATAGAGGGCTGGAGTAGTCTGTCCCCAGAAAGAAGTTCCCTAATTGATTATTCAACATCAAGTGGTCAGCCACTTGGTATTTATCAAAGTTGGTATTTTCAAAACAAAAACCATTTATCCTGTATAACCATGATGGAAAACAAGTGAATATATATAGGAATAAAATTTAAAGTACCTAAGAAGCTTACACAAATAATGTGAAAGACATTTAGGAATGATACAGGTCACTTAGGGAAAACTGACAGTAGGGCCGTGTTGCCTAGGACAACATCCTCTCAGCTCCCTGATTGCACAGAGGTAGAGCCTGTGCTTCTGGGAGCCTACACTCCTATGTTGGGCATGGGGAAGCACTCTGCAGGGTCCCAAAAGAGAAACCTGTACCCTAACTCGTGACCTACAATCTGTCCTGCCTGCAACATGTGGCAGGCAGTGGTGGCTCAGAACACATGGGAGTGGCCAAGCAACTGTTTGCTTTAACTTGAGACCCATGCCAAGAACGGGATCCCATGTCCTACACTGCCTGGATAGGCAGACACAGGAGACTGGATAGCCTAGAATTCTAAGCTAGAAACCAACATGACTGGCAAAACGAAAAGGAGGGAGGGAGAGAGGGGGGAGGGAGAACGATGATTCCTAATGATATTCTGCTATAGTAACAGACAGGTGCCTTGTCTAGTCATCATCAGAAAGACTTTCTATGGCACAGATGGGAGCAGGTATAGAAATCCATCTGCAGACAGACATTATGCGAAGAGAGTATAAACTGGCAGTCTCTATTGGTCCCTCTCAGGAAAGCTTGGGAAGCCCTGGGAAGTCAAGAAAAGACTAGGAGTCAGAGGGGATAGAGGACACCTGGAGAGCATGCTCGCCCTTCCCCCAATCAACTAAGCAGAGTCCACAGAGACAGAAAAGGCAAGCAGGGGTCTGCATGTGTTTATACCAGGTCCTTTGTGTGTATTATGGCTGTTAACTTTTTGTTTTTGTGGGACTCCTAACAATGGGTGTAGGGGTTGTCTCTGACTCGTTTTGCCAGTTCTTGGGACTCTTTTCCCTCTTGGCTTGCCTTGTCCAGCCTTCAGATATGAGGGATTTTGCCTTGTCTTATTGAGGTTTGTTTTGTCATGTTTGTTCGTTTTCTTTTGCAGGTCTGCTCTTTTCTGAAGGGAAAGGGAGAGATAACGGAGGTCTAGGGTAGAGGGGAGGTGTGGCAGAGCTGTGAGGAGAAGACGGAAGGAAAACTGGTCAGCATGTATTATAGAAGAGTCTGCTTTGAATATTTTTTAAAAAGGAAAAGTAAATAAATGCCTAAAGCTTATAGATGCCAATTAATCTCAATTTAATTTAAAAATTAATGCAGCTACAACTAAGATATCAATGTGAAGAAGTATTAAGGAAACTTGTGTGTTCCTCAAGACAGAATCTCCCTGGGCAGCACCAGAGATGGTGACAGGAAGAGGGTCCTAAAAGGAGAAAGCCCAAGGATCCCATAGAAGGCAGACCCAGAATTTCCTGGCAGACTGTGGACTCTGGGTACCCTCCAGTCCTCATGGGAGTTGCCTGTCTTCTCTAAGGAAGTTTGTGTTTCCTTCTCCTTTCTTTCCAGGGCTGCTGTTTTTCTGTACCCACCCTTAAGGCCCTCTAGCTGCATCAGTCATCTTCACTTTCTTGGCATCTGCAGCTTCCCCATGCTTCTGTCACTTTCACTTTCTCTCCATTTGTCTTCTCTCTGTCTTTGTCCATCCTACAGAATGTACTGGATGGTATTCCTAGATGCCCACGCCTCATCCCAAGATCCCTGTAACAAATGCATCAAATGTGCTTCTCTATATGTTTCTAAATGAATTTCTATTGATCTCAATAAATTGGGTGGCTTCTTATGCTTTGCTTCATTTTAAGTAAATTCCAAACATTTTGATTAAAGAACAAATATAGCATTTGTCATTTGAAAATACTGGTTGTTCTCACCTTAGGATCTGTTTCATAATCCAAAAGAGGTTCCAGGGTTTTAGAAATGACACCACTATGTGGATCCAAAGCAAAGTAAGCAGTGGCATTGGTTGAAGAATTTAATATTAAAAACTAGGAACAAAAACCACAAACATTGCTGATATATTATTGTAAAAGCATGAATTTTGAGCTGACATTTTGATGCAATTATTTGGCAAAAGATACACTCAGCTTCATTTTGTGAAGACAGTGCCCATAAATAAAATCTGAACTTGCTTTTGTATCCAGACTTCAAAACAATGCAAGCATTCCTTCATGTTTTCAGCTGTACTTTTTTCCATATTTTGTTTTGTGCTTAAGAACTTGGGCATTTTTGGTAAATAACTGTCATTGGTTTCACAATTAGTTTACTTTCTAGTGTTACATTGACAGCTTTTTTCAATATAAAACCCTATTCCCTCTTGTACACTGAAAAAGTGTATCTAAAGAGGTACACACAAAAGCATTCAGTCTCATCCCAGTACTGACTTTAGGCATGAAAACATAAAATAAAATAATACTTTAAACAAATATGTTGCTTTTGTGAGTATTGAAATAGTTTTCTCTATTGTTATCATAAAATTTATAGCAGGAATATGTGCCCCAGACTTAACAAAAATATTATAGGATGCAAAAATATTAAGAGGCTAAATTATACAAAAACAAAAAATTACATCCTGATTTTCATTTAAAGAAACAATAAAACTTATGATGATTAATGCTTCAAAAGAGACATGACAGCCATGTTGGTGGACACAGTGAGTTATTTTGTTGGTGGATACATCATGGTACTTTTCTCGGCCATTCCTGAACAACTAAAGTCGACTTATGATTGATTAGAATCCCCTAAACATTTTTATGGGGAAAAAACTTTTATTTCTTTCATTATCATGGTGATTTTAGGTTTGCAAAAATAATTACCTTCTAAATCTTTGTGTTTTTCCTCATTTTAATGACTCATAACTCAAACATTATAATAATTTCATTTACAGAAAATATACATGTTTACATACACATGCACATATCCATACATACATGAATGGATATCCCATAACTTCAATCACACACTGTTCTTATATTCTCCCCTCCAACACAATATGCTTTCACACATGGGGCTTTTGAGTCCAACAAGAAAGAATTATATTTTACTATGTGATTTTTTCAGTCTAAAAACTTGATAAAGAAAAATTGAAAATCTGAGTATGCTAAACAATAATTCATAATCAGATCAGAATAGAAACTCCATGAATTTTCCTGAGAGCTATCCTCTCAAACTTCAGCTTAGCCACATTCCCAAGTTTGTTTATACGTCAGTTGTTACTGGCATGAGCAAATAGAAAACTCTTGCCCATTTTATTGAGACATTGACTAAACCATTAAAATTAGGGAAGAAAATCCCAATCTATTAATATAATTTATTATACTATCAAGAAACTAAACTTGTCTTTTAGAAATATAATTAGGTTATGGGTTATATTGCAAACAAAGTTTTTGAGAAAACACAATAATAAATTTGTTTCTTCCCCCACGAAGCCGTCAACTATTTCATCATCTATTATTTATTAATTCTTATTCACAAATTATTGCTGAAACCAAAATAATATGAAAGTCCAAATATCCTTTATGAAAATTGTGAGTCTAATATCAAGAAAATAAAATGAAAGAAAATGAACCAGAAGTGAATATTCTAGAGTAAACAAGCATCGTCCATGCTGATAACAGTACACTCTTCACTTACAGTGTTTTCAGACTATGTTAGGTCTATGAATTCCATTTTTGTCTTATCCTCTTCATTTTGCAACTACATTCAAAACTTAAATTCCCTCTCTCACTTCAGTAAGCATCATAAGCTATAAAGCCTTGTTTAATTAAAGCTTGAGGAAACACGTTTTGCTCATTGAAAAATTAAGCAATGTATTCTGCTGTTTACATTTTGGGGTAAACATAAATGACAATAAAATAAAACTTACTTCAACTTCTTGTCCCAAATCTGGATCTCTTGAAAGAATTGCGTATATAAAAGCAGAGGAGGGGGTATTTTCGGCAACAGACACGGAAACACCTACACAATCACATGAGTAATCGACAGTTACTAAATGGCACATGTCTTGCTTCACACAGCTGCTGTAAGTCATCAGACTTTGTCTGGGTTGAGTAATTCTTTCAGGATACTTTCTCTAGAAAACACTACAAATGTTTATTCACATGAACGTCAATATTGATTTTTTTTCTTTTACTTTGTGTACGTCTTCGGGGTGGGGTCGTGTGCGTGTTTACTGGCATAACTGCCCACACAGACACATGTGAAAGAAAGAAATCGAGGTTTGTGTGTTATTTAATCATTGCTTTATCATATTTTTGAGACAAGTTTCCTCACTTAACTGGTCCTCTCGTTTTCAGCTCTGTTCTCTGGCCAATGAGGCCCAGAGATTTCATTTCACATTCCCATTAATGAGCTTATTGACAGGCATTATCACACCCAACTTGTGTATGGGCTAGGGAAATAACCCCAGGTCTTCATGACCCAGCACTGAAGCACTGAGCCACACACACCTCATTTCCATAGTTGGACATGAAGTCTCTCTAAGCTGTCTAGGCTAGTCACCAATGCATGAGCAGAGGCAATACTACCCCCACTTCCTGACTTCCTGGACTCTAACCTGACAACACCCAGCCTAGAGAACTGCTTTCAAATTTTGATATTTAAAAGAGTCAAAGTAATTCAAGTTTTTTTTTAATTTAAATATTTGGTTGATGTGAGGAATCTGCCCAGAGTCTGAAACATTATCCTTTACATTATCCACTTACACTCACAGATGTTAGAATATTGAAGTTTTTACTTTTTTCCCCAGTAACGCATAAAAATAGGTGCAAATGGTGAAGCAAATAAAAATGTGTTTTAATTTATGCTTCATCACTGTCATGTATGCAATGGAGATAAAGTACATCTTCAACCTTAGGTTGATTCTGAGAATGAAGTGTAACACCATGTGCATGCCTCACACATCTCAACAAATGTTGCTATCTTCAAACACTGCTCTTTATCTTGGTTCTAATGCAATGAAGTATGATTGCATCTCATCCCAAAAATAAAGTAAAAAAAAAAAAGATGAAAAGATGCACAGAGTATGCAAAGCATTGGAAGTTTCTTTATATGATGAAAAACTGATACACCTTTAAAAACATACATGCATGCATGCATACATAGTTATACCATATGCATAAACGTGAAAAGAAGGAATGAAAAGGAAACACATGGGAAGAAAAGAATGCAGAGACAAGCAAGAAGACATAATTGCTGACATCCAATTGATCCAGCCAGCATTAAGTGAATTAGTCTGTGTTGCTTAGGGTTAATTATGTGCAAGATCTTAATACATTCAAATATTTTATAGCATTCTCTACTTGAGGAGTCTTGCTTACTGCGCACATCAGTTTAATACCAAGTCTGTTGCCTTTTTGGAAGATTTATTTATTTATTTTTATTTCATGTTTATATGTAAATGCCCGAATACAGTTGTATACACCACATGTATGCCTGGACCTGAGAATGCCAAAAGAAGGGTCAGATCCTCTGTAACTGAAGTTGCAGGTAGTTGTGATCCACTATGAAGGTTCTAGAAATCAAAACTGGGACCTCTGCAAGAGTAGCAAATGCTCTCAAGCGCGGAACAATCTCGGGTTACTGTGGCTCTTGTTTATAATCTATTTTGTTACTACCACAGAATCCTCATTTTGTGATATTGCTAGTGATATTAACAGAACAACTTTTGGATGAACTAGGACCAGTTTTCTTTGAACCTTTGTTCTACATCAAATGTACGTGAAGGGATGTTCACAGTTAGATTCACTCCGCAGAGCTGTCACCTATACACAGCTAGAAGCAGTATGTAAATTGATTAGACAGTATGTCAAATCAGCAGCATGCAAATTGTGCCAATGTCTTTCAGAGTAAATTCACAGAAGTTTACACTTGTTTAATTCAAAGTGAGCTCTTCATGTTTGGCCTCAGTTGCAAGGACACCACTGATACGATGAGACAAAGTCTTCCAGATCTTGAGCGTGTCTTAGCAGTTCAGCCAAGTCTATGGTGGAAATCAGGTCATAATGACCTTGAGATCCATGTGCATCTTTTAAGAATTTACTATAATATGGAGACACTAAAATGAAATTACCAAGAACATCATTAAATCGTTTCATAGTCATCCAAAAGATAATATCTTCACAAACACTAAAACAGAAGGCTTGTCTACACCCAGTTCCATGCAGGATTTGCTTTGTTTTTAACCATATTTTTTAAATTGAGATTATACTCTAATAACATCAGTTTACTTCTTCCATTTCCTGCTTCCAACTACTACCATATATCCCTACCCCTTTGTTTTCTATCAAATTTATGGTCTCTTTTTTTATTAATTGCGTGTGTGTGTGTGTGTGTGTGTGTGTGTGTGTGTGTGCATGTGTTCTTAATTATGTAAATACAATCTTCACAGACCATATAATGTTACTTGAATGTATTATTTTTCAGTGATAACGACATAGTATTGAATAAGCAATTTGTGTGCCTAGGCTGACTGGCCAAGGCACTCCAGAGACACACCTATCTCTGCCTCACCAGCAATGTTACAAGCACATAACACCATCTGATGTTTTGTTTGTTTTGTTTTCTTTCCATGGGTTCTGGGGGATTTAACATAGGTCCTCACTCTTGCAAAACTCACTTACTGACTGCACTATCTACTCAGACATTTAACTCATATCTTACTGTTTGAATTTCTATACATTTGACAACTTTGGGAGGGACATTCACCCATATGTTACAGATTCATTCAGAATACTGTTTCCATTACTGTTCTCCATGTACTACACAAATTAATAACTATAGTTGGAATTTGAACCACACAGATGCTATTTTATTTTTATCTTCTTACTTTTTAGCCCACATCTTCTTTTTTCAAGCTTTTTATTTCTTTTTTAAAAAGTATTCCCTTTCTTCTCTTCATACCCTCCCATAAACCTATCCTTGCTCACTTTCAAATTCATAACCACCTTTTTTTTAATGATTACTGTTAATAAAGGTTTTCAAGCTTACTAGCACACAATGAAAAAGTGACACTGTAGCACACTGTAGAAGAATGACTCAGTAGTACACAGTGGCAAGATGACACTGTAGCTCACAGTGAGAGAGTGACACTGCAGCACATTGTAGGAGAATGAATCAATAGCACACAGTGGGATAATGACATAGTAACATCACAAATTCAAGTCCATCTTTAGTTATGAACTGAGACTTGTTCCAAATAACCTGTGAACTACAAGTATAGCTCAATTATTGACCATGGCCCTGAATTCATAAGGTCATGAGTTCAATTTTTAGCACCCTTCACACTAAATCACATCACCAAGTAAACTCAACTATGCTTCCATAGCACTTCTAATAGGACAGTGCTTCTAGAATCTTTGAAATGAAATTGACTTGTAACATACCTGCGCCTTTTGAAAATTTGGGATCACAGGAAATAGGATCATCAACATTCTCCACAAAAACTGTGAACATGTATGAGCTGGTGTTATTGCCATCATCCCTCGCCTCAATTTCTAAAGAGTAGGTTCTGGAGTTACTTGGGTTATCAAGATTCAAAGACTGAAGAACAGTGATTACACCTGTGACTAATGAAGGAAATAAACTATTAAACTGAAACATTTATTTCTACATTAGTTGATATTGATTATGTTTAAATCAAGACATAATTTTCATTCATTCATTGCAAATATTTAAAGTTTTTTGTACCAAGCCTTTTCTTTTTGGGACACATACAAGCTTCCAAATCATGACACAACGATTTACTATTATTTATGAATAATCAGCCTAGCTTAGGCTTGTTTCTGACTAGCTCTTTTAAGTTAAATTAACATGTTGCTCTTTTATCTACCTTTTGCCTCAGAACTTTTTACCTTTCTTTCCTTCTGTGTATCTCACTTTTACTGCTTCTTGGGTCTGTCTCTCTGGTGGCTAACTGGTTTCTTGCCAGGGTGTGTCTCTCTCTTTCTCCTTCATTCTCTTCCCCTTCTTCTTCTCTTCTTCTTCTAAAGCCTAGATTTCTCCCTGTATTTTTCTCTCTACCTGCCAGCCCTGCCTATCCATCTCTCTGCCTAGTTATTGGCCATTCAGCTTCTTAATTAGAACAATCAGGTGCCTTAGGCAGGCAAGGTGACACAAATATAAGATATTCTTACAAAATTAAACAGATGTAGCATGAACAAAAGTAACACACCTTTACACATTTAAAATAATATGCTACATCATAAGCAAATGTAACACATCTTTACAGTTTCAGTAATATTCTATAGCAGCATTTTATTTACTACATGCTTATTTTAAAAAATAATTACATATTAAAGCTTATTTCATAATATTTCCTTTAAATATGTAAATTATGATATATTTGTTTACCAAATACATCAAGTAGTATTCCTACTCTAAATTACCAAATACAAGAAATCACATTTGATATTTGTTAGTTATAACGAATATTGTAGCAGTGAGTGTGAAAACCCATCCCAATCATTTACTGCTTCTGATAATAAGCTTTGGTCATTTTGTTACCCATGAAAGTTGAAGGAAAATGAGTTCAAGTGTCAAACTTAAGTAAAGTTTGCTGAAACACCGTGACTGTTTATCCCTGGTGCCACCACCTTTCCCTCTGAGACTCTTCTCACTTTGGAATGACCGACTTTGACCTTATATTGAACATCTTCAGTGCTTTCACATGTCTTTGGGACTCTACTATGGATTGAAATAAATCTTCTCAAATAATAGTTGATCAGTACTATGGCTTGGTAATGTGCCAACATGATTAATCTATCCTCATATGCTTTTCATTTTGGTGACCACAGGGAGATAATCGGTCAACTTGGAGACTGGAAAGGCAGCAGTATTTATTGTATGATAGTTTAGCTTTTGAGATAAATTTTGGTTGATCTACTGTATTGTTGCTGAAATGAACTGGCTACAACTGAATCTGTTACTACCTTATCTTCCCCTCAGCCTTTCCAAACTTGGAAATTGTTGCAACACACTGTATTCTGCAACATTGATGCTCAAGAATTATGCAGCTGAGTTATATATTGAAACACACACATACACATTCACAATCCCATAATATTTTAAGTAGCTTTATAATTTTGTATTGCTGTATTCATAACTATACTCAGCGGCAGATTGAACACATCAGGAATATCTTTCAGGTCTCTGACTTCTAGAATAGCTGTGCATACTAAGCTCTGAGATGGAAGGACCCAGCTTATGCAGGACACCAATGCCATCAAAGTCAGATGCAAGAATTTTCACAGGCCAACTCATGTTGATGGAATCACTCTTATCCGTTTGTGTTCTAATCTACCTTAAATGTTCCACTATATGTCCATCTTCCAACCATGACTTCAAACTCTAGAATTAGTGACTACAGACTATCTAAAACTACACAGTCAGCTGCTACAACATATTCTTGGTGTTTCTGTTTTGTTGTTCAATTATCAAATTTGATAGTACCATGTATATCAAAAGCCCATAAGAACAATTACGCTGTCCACATAGACAAAAATCTGTCCATAATCATATATTTAATATTAAATTATCTGCTAAAATCCCAATTTTTACAAATATGACCAAAGAAATAACTATGTGTTCCACAGATGTCTTTTTTTAACAAGTAAAAAAGTTGTAAGTATAAATGTCACATGTGTCTTCTGTGTTTCCTTCTTGGTGTTCAAATTTAGAAGAGTAATTTTAACAGCCCAAGCTCTCAAGGGCATGTAGAGATAAGTGTATGTTCAGGTACAGTAGTATAGAAGTATTTATATAAAACTTACAAGGATCTAAACCAAACATTTCCTGCTGTGTTTTAAAGGAATACATGATGCTGCTGTCTTTATCACGATCTGTTGCTTTTACTCTTGCTAAAAAACTTCCAGTGGGTTTCTTTTCAGTCACGTTAATTGAATCCATAGGAAATGGCCTAGGAATAAAATTGTGAAATAAATTTACTTTATATAATGTAGTTGCTGAATTATAACTAAGAAACTTCTGGATTTATGAAACCATTACCTTTTGTGAAGAACTTAAAAGCTCCTAATGTATTCAAGTTTTAAGAAAATTTGTTTGTGGCATAAAGTTACACAGATTTTTTAACATGATATTTATATAGTTTCTGCTATTAGGCCAGATTATCAAGAATACCAAAGAATAAGAAAGATAGAAAATGAAAAACAGAATGAAATAATGCCTCTCCATTGCTCCAGAGAGACAATACACGGAGTAGTTGGCAAATGAACATAAGACACTGAATATATTAACTCATATTATAAACTCTAGGGTGAGGGGCTACCCAAAACAATAACTTGGAGCAACATATTAAATCAATTTCTGTAACATTATTTACTACCTGTTTGAGTCTCACATTGTCTCTGATCATATCCAGAACATCTATGAAATCTAAGTCTCTTTTTTGGCATTTTAAGGCATTGTATCTACCCGGTAACTTGTGTGTCGTGTGTCATGTGAGGTGCTAGGACAAGAGAGTTGAGTGGGTGGTGTTGTGTCTCCAAGCAGTGTTCTTGATCATATCCTACTTGGCTCCCCTTTCACATCTATTATAATAACTATAATGTCCTCTATAATAATTATATTATGGAACATTGTAAATGCCTTCATTTTCTGTTACCCTATTGCTTAGTATTCTGTGTCTCTTCAGATATGAAAAGAATATTCAGAAACTATATGATAATTTGGCAATGGCTCTTATTTATTTAGTTATAAATTCTATTAAACAAGCAATAAATTTATGTTTATTAAAAGATGAGAGCCTCAGAATATTATTCTCAAATCATGATGGGACTTTTACAGCAAATATAGGTAGACTTACAGATTGATTATTTTCAGAAATAAGGGATTATTGAACCTCTAAATTTGTTTCAGTTTCTCAGATCCAGCCAGGTAAATTCAGGAACTCAATAAATTCCTCCCTATAGTTATCTGTAGAGACAGAACTTAGTAACATAAAGAAAGTGACCATAACACTATCACTTCTTTCTCATTACAAATCTAAGTATTTGGTTACTTTCTTATTATAGTAGAATATTTAATTGCTAAATTTTGAAGTATGAAAATTATGTATTCACAATCTTCGAATATTTCCTGTTACATTGTACTTGGCAATATGATAACAATTAAATATTTTAAATATTTTTAAGGTCAGTGTAGTTATTAAATTCAGCATAATAACTTGGCAAATCTTGGGAATGGAAGCAAAAACACAACCAAATGTTCCCATTGTATTACAGGCTGATCAATTCTAAACTCGTTTTAGGTTTTTCTCTCACACATTGTATATTGCATCCCTCCATGCATGAATTCTGGGTATATACTAATATGTTTTTGACAGACCATGGTATGATTTTCTGTTTATTGTCATTTTCAATATATACAATAGGTTTTCTTTAACCATTCACCTATGCTCACACTTTGAAATCAATGTGCTTACTCAAATTGAGGCGTCTCATCATTTATGTTTCGAATATTGATAATTATCGTTCCTTGACAGAACAAACCTGCTGAATCTGTTGCTCTCACTGAAAGCTGGAAAGTCTGGAAGAGAGGTTTTGAAAAATTATAATATGTCATTTGCTATGTGGTATACCTATGTAGTTTACACATCTCCTGCTACATATACAATACAATTATATAGGGTCGGGCGTTGGTGGCACTGGCCTTTAATCCCAGCACTTGGGAGGCAGAGGCAGGCAGATCTCTGTGAGTTTGAGGCCAGCCTGGTCTCCAGAGTGAGTGCCAGGATAAGCTCCAAAGCTACACAGAGAAACCCTGTCTCAAAAAAAACAAAACAAAACAACAAAAAAACCCAATACAATTGTATATATCTATAAAGACAAATACTATTCAGAAGTATATATGTATATACATATCTATGTATGTTATGCATAAATACACATGTTTGAATAGTCAGGATAAACATATATACTCCCTTAATTACACTCACAATAAATTTCAGAAAAGCTTTGTTTTATATCCCATAAAGTTTCTCTCAGAGATTCTTGTAGCTTGGCTGCTGTACTAAATAAATTGAAACAAAAACATGAATAAATTCTATATTTCACCATAAACACAAAATATAATGAACCAAAGGTTTTAACAAAGCCAACTGCTTGAGACTGATGCTGGGACACAGGACTTCAGGTTATTGTTTAGGATGAGAACAGTGTGCAGTTTCTGATGTGCTGAGGATGTGACCAGTCAGCCTGTGCCTCGTCTCATCCCTTATCATCAAGGGTCACTTTCAGAACACAAACAAAGCACTATTCATAGAGTAAAAGATCTGTAAGAAACTGAACAAACATTTGTAAATGCCTCCAACATACAAGTCTCCATGTTGAATGAAAGATCTGTGATTTGTGTGCATGACTATACATGCAATATCATAAAATTAGTTGATGAAGTGTATAGTGGGGATAAAGACAGAAGTATTAGAAGTCTGTGTATGTTGGGTAGAATGTATTCTTACAGACAGAAGAGAGTCAGGAGAGCACCACAGTGTTAGTTCTGAACTGGTTTCATGCACATCAAAATAGTGTTGCTGACTCCCACCTCTTTTCCATCAAGCTTTAATCCCACACGGTACTCGTTAAATCTGTTGTTACCTACTCTACCACTCTGCAACTCTCACCATTTCCAAACTGAAGTTTAAGTAAGAATAATAGGTGTTCCTCATCTTCAACTACTAAATCTGCCTCCTAAATATCATCAGCAGCTTCTTCCCTGCTGTTGCATATCAGATATTTACATTATGACTCATAACTGTAGAAAAATTACAGTATGAAGTAGCAACAAAATAATGTTATGGTTGGGGGTCACCATAACATGAAGAACTGTATTAAAAGGTCACAGAATTAGGAATGTTGAGAACCACTGTTCGAGAGTCTTGCATTTTCTTACTCAGTATTTTTTCAACTGCATAATGAATCAACATATATGTGTTCCTCTCTAAGAAAGAAACAGTTTTGCAATAGCAGTTATAACAGTAATAACTTGATCCATCTACTCTTCATACTCAATAATCCCAATGATCATTTACCTGGGCTATCTGTGGTCACTTTGCCTTAAATTTCTTCAGAAATTTTTATATAAAGTACAATCCCCACACTCTGGTAACTGTAAGGATTAGGTCTAGATATTTGGTTAACTACACAAATCTTTGCAAATAAATTTTGTGAAATATTACCCTTTCTGTAATGTCACAATATCTCGAGTTTTTCGTAAAGAGTTCAGAGTTATTTTTATTCTCTTCTATTCTTAATAGAGAAATAAATAAAATTAAATTACATGGTATCCAGCGTCAAAGTCCAAGGCATCTTCACCTCTTAAGCTAACAATACCATTTACAGGATCTACTCCAAAGGAGTTTGCTCCCCTCTTGGGTCCAGATAATTCTGTCTCAATGCTGTACTGGAAAATAAAATGTGTATTACTCATTCCAAAATGAATCAAAAGGCACAGAAAATTATTAATAATAAAGTTACATTAATACAGAAAGTTCCTTATTTTTCATAATTATCACTTTTATGAGCTAGCATCTATAAAATCATGATATATTGTGAATTGCAATATAAGAAAATCAACTCGCTTGCTCACTATATTATATGGTCCCTTTGCTAATGTTTAATGGAGTTATATACAACATTTTCACACAAGAATTTGAAAATGACTATTTCTGATTCTACTAATGATTTTATATATGAGATGATAAACATACAGAATAAATTTATTGACACTTTTTAAATTTTAAAAAATATCAAGATTTATACAAATTTTAAATTTTCATATATTAATATGGCTCTATATGCAGGTTTTAAATAATTACTGAAAGTTCTTCAGTGATTTGAGGAGAATTTGAATTAAATAAATATGTTCTCAAAAGTACCTGATGAAACCCACAGAAACAGCTGACCTGACCAAGGAGGAGCTCTTGGTCCCCAGACTGTTAGCTGGGAAGCCAGCATGGGAGAGATCCAGACCCCATGAACGTGGGTGTCAGTGAGGAGACCTCAAAAATCTATGGGGCCTCTTGTAGTAAATCAGTACTTATCCCCAGCATAGTTGTGGACTTTGGGAGCCCATTCCACATAGAGAGATAATCCCTGAGCGTAGACACACAGGGTGGACCTAGGCCCTATCCCAAAAGATATGAAGACTCTGAAGAACCCCTATGGAAGGCCTCACCCTCCCTGGGGAGCAGAAAGGTTATAGGGTAGGTAGGGTATTAGTTTGTGGGGAGCGGGGAAGGAGGGCAGGGAGAGGAAATTGGGATTGACATGTAAAATAATCTTGTTTCTAATTTAAATAAAAAATGGAGAAAATATAAAACCAGAATATATAATCTATACAAAAATAAAAGTGAAAGAAGATAATTTATCAGAAAACTCTCTGATTACTGTTGTGAATTTGCTCTTAAATTGATATGAATCCTATACTCTAGCAATATAACTCATTATCAAAACATATTTTGAAATGCTCACCCACTGGTTCTTCTCACATTCCTACAAATGGCAGACTGGCAATATTATTTTCAGCTGTATCAAGGTTATTTTTCTTTAATCTACTGAAAAGACTTTATCTAATCGGATATATCTCAGATTTCTTAACAATTTCCTATTAGCTAGTCTGTTAAAATGCAATGTTGACCATCCCACAAGGAATTTTAGTACTTTGACTGACAACTACACATATATCAGTGAGTGGTAGGGGAAAAAAAAGAAATATATTGTAATTGTGGAAATCAAGGTCAGCACAGGTTATATGACTGTCCCAATATCATTACACTGACCTAGGATAAAGTCAGAACAGGCCACGTGCATTGACAGCCCAGCAGCCTTGCTGGTCTAGTACTTCACCATGAGAGTTACTCAGTTGGCAGTAAGGGATGTCAATATGTGTTCAAAAGGGACAGCTGCCAGAAAATCATATGGACTCGCAATTTGAATGCAAGCATACTCTACAGATAGCATAATTGGAAGGTTTGCTTTTCTTGCCAAGTCTGTGAGAAGCTGTATAACCATGAATCAATTATGAGAAGATAATCTGTTTAGGTTAGGTATTTATGAAATAGAAAGGCAAAGCATCTAAATCTCTCTCTCTCTCTCTCTCTCTCTCTCTCTCTCTCTCTCTCACACACACACACACACACACACACACACACACACACACTGGCATATATATATGTATACATATATATGAATGTGCATATATTTTATTATATAATTACATTAAATAATCTAAAATATTTTCAGCTTTAACACAAATACTGCACTGAGTGATTAATTTTATTCATTCATTAAATTACATTTTCTATTCTTCTAAATAGTCTTGGAAACTTTGCCCTGTGTGCCAGCTTCAGAAATATATGCATTTCTCACAATAATGGCCACCTACTGTCAGCCTGTCACCATGTGCAATGTCTTCATCTGTGACATTCACTCTATAAATGGATTGAAAGAGTGGATAATCCTCAGCTATTTCAAATGTAGCTGCAAAGCAAAAATTAAAAACATTATATCAAAATAAAATATTAATTGTGTTTGTTTGAATTTTGGATTATTGGGGGGCCGGGTTAACAATTTAAAACAGTCTTTTTATTCTCTATTTGTTTTTTTCTCTTTGCCTTCTTGTCATCTTTCCTGTCCCACACAGTGCTTTTCCTTACTCCATGACATTATTGGCAGCCACTATCACTTAATAAGAGAGACCATGACATGAGGGTCCAGGAGATCGCCACAAAGCATTAATGCATCTGATAGGGTCTGTTTCTTACAGAAGTAGGTGGGTACTCTCACAAAACTGATGACATCACTTTGAAACACAGGTCTTAAAAATGCATAAAACTTGTACAAAATATGGCATGGATGGATGGAGTGGGAAACGCAGGTTAAATTAATTTTTTCTTGATTTCCAAAATGAGCACACCTATGTACACATGTGTGTCTGTGTGAATGTATGTGTGTGCGCGTGCGTGAGTGCGCGCATTATGGGAGTGTGCGTGCATCTGTGTATTGGTCCATTCGATATTATTGAAACTTGGACCATAAAATCAGTGACAATGCATTTTAAATTTCCTAATTCCTATATAAGTAGACTATATTGAAATTATACTAAAATCAAACTTTACCAACCTTCCCAACTAAATTTAAATTTTGTAATGTTTAAAGTAAACCTCTGAGAGACTTTGGCCTAACTGAGGGTAAGGCTGGTACTTAGGAACATGTCTTCAGAACCAATACAAGAAGGAGAAGGAGGAGAAAGAAGAAGTAGAATAAATATCAATACAAAAAAATCCACTTTAGTGTAATTTAAAGACCTATCATCATCCAATTTCAAAGTAACTTAAGTGAATTAATAATGCGAAGAATAAAATCTTAGTTAACTTGGAAGTTGGCGTCTTAAGTTTTCATGTCACTGTGTTGCCAAGCAAAAAAAAAAAAATAATAATAACACAGAAAAGCTGTCAGAAAGAGAAAAAATGCTAGCACCAGGTTTAATTATACTGTGAAACACTTAACAGGAAAATTAAATCTACTGAAAGTGTAAAACCAGAAAATTGTGTTCAAAGCATCCTGAGTGTACAGTAGTGTTGGGAGGTACAGAAAGACTTAAAAACAGATCTGAAAACTTGCCTTTTCCTTAAAGTCAAATAAACCACAGAACAATTACTTTTGGATAGTAATTGAGATTTTAAATAGATGAATGAAGTTAAGCATAACTAGACAGATGCAGGCAACTAGAACTCATCTGAGTCAAATGATCAGAACACTGGACTCACTGTCCTTTTGGACTGTCCAACTGTTGGCCAGCTGTCAAAAAAAGATTTGAGTCTTCATGAGCCCGAGCAATTATTGACAAAGAACTGGTAAAAGTTTAACCCTACTGCATCTTCAATGCTCCAAAGCAATTCTTCATTAATGTAGTTTCTACATTATTTCAAACGTTGTCTTTTTCCCTAAACTCTTAACCCCTTCTCATCTATCTTGAAGCCCAGAGATGAGCTATCAAGCTATCACAAAATAAACAACCAATTAGCCTAGCGAGAGCAGAACTTCCTCCAGGGGCCCTGCACAACCGCTTATAGCTGTACATTCTGTCCTTGTACAGGAAATGAAAGCACTTCTCCACAAAGGACAAATCTGATCATTGTCCAGCATCTCCCTTGCTCTTTGGTGGGTCTGACTTTAACCCTCATTTTCAGTCATGCTTTCACTTCTACTACATCTCTTCAGCATGTAAATGCAAGCCTTTCTGAAAAACATCGCCATTGAGCAAGCACTGCTTATGTGGCCCCAACTCTTTTCTACCCTTCACTGTCAGAGTTTATATTATGTTTTCACACACTACTCCATCTTAAGTCTATTCTATAGCAGAAAGAGTTTCCCAGCACTTATTTGTACATCCATGCTTGCCTGACAAATAGACCAAACTTAGTGTCTGTGTTACTGATTTCCCATCAACATTTATACAAGGGATTCTTCTCTCATCCCTTAGCTGACAAAGGAGCACCACTAGGAAAGATCTGCTCCAAAACTCAAGCATCTATGGAAAACAACTGCTAGGAAAAAATCAAAGTTGGCAATCTCCTACCAGCTATTAATTTCTTTGATAAGGCAAACTGCTGGTACAGATTTTCAAATTCTGTCCAACATTGTCTTAGCAACCCACAGTGTCCAGCAACTATCTCCCTTATTCTGTCATCAGCAAGCACACATTTACTATCCCCTCACAGGCAAGAAAGTAATCCAAGTAAGAAGTGGGTAGTCATCACACTCAAGTTTCATTGAGATCCAGAAAGGGTCCAAGAACTCAGGGGAGATCAGGAGGGATAATCTGATACATAATTCTTGACTACAATAGGTATGAAGAATAAAACATGAAAAGAACATATTTATTTAGTTAAACATTGAGCCAATATCATTTTCATGTGAATGGATGTGTTTGTTCCTATTGAAAACAAAACAAACTACACATGACTGTCAGGGAACATTTTTCATAATAGTAAAAAGGAGTAAAAGATTCTTTTGTATAGACTTTATGGAATATACATTACATTTCTAAATGCAGCCAATATTCCTAAGGAAGTAAATGCAAAAGTCAAGGTCAATGTAGTAGAAGTAATTTCATATACAAAACTCCTATTTTAAAGATCAATTTTTAAAAATTTTAATATGGCTCATTTAGTAAATTTAACACTTGATTTTGCTTTGTACATTACAAACTTTAAAATGATATATTAAAATTATAGTTTCAAAAGAAATTTATAGTTCAAATTCATGATCTTCAAAATTGAGGTACAATAAATCATATTTTCATGGGATGACACTTTTACTTGCGGTGATAAAGATGTCTTTTAAGTAGATACACAAGCTGACACACTCGGGTCACTAGTATGTTCTCAGAATGTAGAATACAACTATATTTTGAAAAGAGAAAATATAAAGTTTCAAGGCGTTTTTTTTAATTTGATAAACAGAAAATAAATTAAAATGATAAATAAAGACATATAACTGTTCAAAAGAGAGATGCAAACAGTGATAGATGTTTCATTAATTCCAGCTGTGCTGTTTATCCCATCCTTTATGCATGCTCAACCTCCCATTCAAATGAATCTTCTCCATTTGTTTGTTTACCCCACTGTCCTCTTTTAAAAAGAAGCAAACCAGACAGAAATCTTGCAATCCCAGATAACCCAGCCACTGCCTTCTCTCCAATTTTATATTGAGATGTGTAAAGAAATGCTCTCTATTCTCAGACTCATTAACCAAACCAACTTGCAACACTCTGGCTTCTACCCCATGACATGGTAAAATAGCTTCTAGATTCACTAGTTATGTTTGCTTATTTTGTTTGAGGGGAAGCAATGAGTAATATCATTCTCCATTTGAATTAACTATCGAATACAGTTCTATTAAGCAAGCACCTGGCATTCTCCTGGAATGTTCTTTTCCCTGTTGCACACGGCATTACTCTTTCTTTGTCTACCAGCACTTGAGTCCTCGTCCTTTCCTTGGCAGCCTAACTTTCTTCCCCACATCATTAAACGTTATTCAAGATTTGGCCCTCTGCCTTCCTTTACTCTAATTCCCTGCTGTGATTGAGTAATTTCATCCAAATCCATGGTTTCAATTACAAACATTCATAGCCCTATACAAGACCTCTGAGTTCAACTGCTAACTTAAATCTGTGCTTTGATATATGTAACAGAGGCGTAACAAATATGATATGTTGTGCTGGGGTGCCATTTATGGAAGATTGCTTGTCTGTCATGCTTAGGGTCCTTATTTATTGCCTAATCCACAAACAAACACTCAAATAACATGTTCAAAATGAGCTCACACTTCTCTTCAAATGGTGTTTGTTCCTCAGTTTCCATTTTATGCTTGAGGATCTCAGTTGTATATACATCAGAGACTTAAGTGCTTTCCTTCTTCCCTTTTATTTAGTTTGTCATCAGGCTCATTTAGTATTTAAGCATATCAAGTCAATACTTTCCATTTATATCTACCACATTCCTAGCCAAAATGCACCATACCCTTCTTGGATTACTAAAACAAACTGCTGGCTAGCCTTCCTCTATCTGTTCTCTATATCTTTAAACTTATTCACATAAATTACACATATAATTATGTTGGTATTTCTATTGTCTATGAACTAAAATAAAACTAAATTTATTTAAATATATAAAGAGGACATATTTTGTGACACAAAAAATGTGTTTGAAACTGATGATCCAGTACTCATATATAACAGTAATACACCTGCTTGCTTTCAGATATTCATTGTTGCATTCTGCTACAGGAGCAAAGTTGAATGAGAATGAACTCATCAGTTCAAACCAGGAATCCAGTTGTCAATTAACTTATTCTTAGTTCCCACATCTCTTCTTATAATCAGAAAATAAGAGCGTAGAATGACTGACACACTTTGAAGTAATTGAACTATTTTGTGTTACAATTTTTTGGAAAAAAATTATTACACAATATCTCTATAGTTAAAATTATCTGATACATGACAGAGAACACAGACTAAGCACTGATCACAATAATTTAATTGGAAAATCATTGTCAGAAAAAGTAGAATACATTTGATGAAATATTTCCTGATGACAGATTTTATTCATAAAAAGAAACAAAAATGAGGATATAACCAAAACAGGATTTCTGACTTACTTTTTAACCAAGAAGGAAGATTCATTCACTCATTCATTTATTTATATCTCCATCCTATCCTAGTTTTGTAAGAAATGTCCTCAAGGATTATTTCCTAATTTAATGTTCGTATATTTGTATATATTACATTCTTTGATTAATACTATTCCCCAAAATTTCCATATTGGACAGCATGTCTTATCTCTTTTACTGTAGATTTCTATTGAAACTAAACAACAGGAAAAAATAACAGTCATACCTGAACCTGAAGAAAAGAGGGGGTCAGCAGTACAGTCTGGAGGTTCTGGAACATCGATTATATTAATGGTCAAAACATGTCTCATGATCCCTCCAGTATCAACTATAAATAGAAACCTGGTTGGATCAGTTTCATAATTAAAGATTTTTGTAGCTGTGATGACACCAGAATCTAACAAAGAGAGATTTAAAATCAGAAATAGTCTATCAGTCTAGCTATTAAGAAAACTAATTATCTTTCTAGTTATAAAAATATACCTGAAATGTCTAGAAATGTGTTAGGGTTCAAAATTGTAATTGTCATATAAATGAATTAAGTTGGAAATGACATGATCTATCCAAAGTTGCACATAACTCATTCTATGAATCTTTCATGAAGTACAGAAAAGAAAATAGATTACCTACAAAGAAAATATACAGGCGTGTAGATATAAATGATTGACACTTTTATTCTAATAAACTTTCTTTGTGTCTTTCCTAAAACATTTTTATTGAAAATCATTTATGAAATCACAGAGGCTATCAGTGACAGAGATTTCATTGCACTTAGTAACTTGATATAAAAAATGTTTATATTGAGCCTCACTAGTTATAAGTTGACCCTAAAATCATTACGTAAGGTCTTTTATATGTTTGGTAATGTGTAGTTGGCAGTGGCATATATGGGGTATGTTACATGAGGTTAATGTTTATATCTTCCTTGATCACTTACCACCATTTGTTGGGAGAATCTCTCACTATTTGAGTTAACTGCCTGGATACCCTGGTTAGCCAGCAAGCACCATGGATCTCTCTGTCTTTACCCCTTCCAATCTGCACTGGATTGCAAACAACCCTTGCTATGACCAGCTGTTACATGGGTGCTAGTAATTTGATCTCAAAATATTCATGGCAAGTGCTTTATCAACAGAGCCATCTCTCCAGCCCCTGTGGTCTGTGTTTTGCAGACTTTTAACCTGAAACTAAGATGAAATTTGTACCAAAAAATTTATGTTGTGAAAGGAGATATACTGCTCCTGATAGACTAGCCTAATTCTCAGTTAAATTGAGGCAAGTAGAGATAGTAGAGAAAATGAAGAAAGTTATAGACAGTTAAATAATTTTTATTATTAGGCATATCAGTTTCATTAAGTCCATATATTTTAAAAGAAATTAGAAACATTTTTCAAAAATGAGTTGCTTGAAAGTAATTATAACACCATCTATTGAATAAACATAGTGAGTTTTCCTGAAACAAACTTCCTATTCTTAGAGATTTTCTTTTCAATTTAATGGAATGTTAAGTGCCTGATAAACTCAAGTAGTAGCAGGAGAAAAACATAACCCTACTTAAATATCACTCATAATAAAATGGAGCTTGTTAGTGTTCCTAAATATTCAAGAAATATTTTCAAAGTGCGGTGATGGTGGAGGTCATTCTGTGTATATATTTATCTTAATGATGTTGAATAAAGCACTGTTGGCCAATAGGGAAGCAAGAGAGGTAGGACTAGGAGTCAAGCAGAATTCTGGGAAATGTAGTAGAGACAGAGTCGCCATGTGACTGCCAGGAAGACAGGATGCAAGGCCAGCATCCTCTATAAGTCTTGTAAATATATAGATTAATAGTTATGGTTGGTAATTAAGACTGAGATAGCAGATAAGAAATCTTAGTCATTGGCCAGCAGCATTGTAACTAATATAAGTCTCTGTGTGTTATTTTGGTCACACACATGGTGGCTGGCAGAAAGATTTATCATTACAGTTTGGTGCTAGATCCTGGAAGGAATATCAATAGATTCAATGGCAGAATTTATTTACTGTGGCGTCTCCTAAAGGGTCTCATCTCATTAGACTGAATAAACTAAATTTGAGGTAATGACTCTATGGGACTTCTCTCCCTATAAAGATTTTGTGGCCTGAATCTGCTAGCACCCCACTCTTCAATCCTTTCTGGGGCCGACCCAGGAACTAGGTGAGTGAGTCTCTGCCCTTACCCAACTCCTGCCCAAAACATCACTCACCCAGACCACCACCCCCCACCTGCACCTGCTGGCTTGGGGTAGACACACCCAGGCAGGGAGGAGCTCCCTGCTCCCTGAATCTGGTAGCACCCCACTCTTCAATCCTTTCTGGGGCCGACCCAGGAACTAGGTGAGTGAGTCTCTGCCCTTACCCAACTCCTGCCCAAAACATCACTCACCCTGACCACCCTGGGCCTGCATCCACCTGCTTGGGGTAGACACACACAGATAAGGAGGAGCTCCCTGAATCTGGAAACACTCCACTCTTCCATCTCTTTCTGCCAACTGATCCACAATGAGTGAGGAGACTACCATGAGAGGTAAGACCATCCAGAGTTGTCGACAATGAATTCCTGGCACCCACACACCACTGGGTTACAAGAGGAGATAGAGAGACCCCACCTGCACCCACTAAAAGAAGATATGGGAAGAAGACAGAATAAGATTTCACTCAACAACAGAAAGACCAATATGACACAACCAGAATCTAGGGACTCCACTCCAGCAAGATCTGAAAAGCCCAACACAGAGCATGAAGATGAGATGGACCTCAAAAATTATCTCAACAAGATGATACAAACCTTTAAAGAGGAAAAAAGAAAATCCCTTAAAGAAATAGAAGAAAAAGCAAACAAGAAATTAAACAAAATGGAGGAAAAGATGAACCAAAAAATTCAAGAAATAAACGAAAGCCAAGAAAAAACATCCAAGCAAGTGAAGGAAGCTCTTGAAACAGTTCAAA